GAATCCCCCAGGCGTTGCCCCCCAAACGGCCACCAAATTCAGGGAGCAGGAATCCGAAGAAGCAGCCTTCCCAAGCTGTCCATGGATGGGCATGGCCAGAGAGTGCGAGGCTCCCTGTCGGACCCAGAAGTCCTCCTTAGAGGGACGTGGGATGTGTCATCGCTGGGCAAGGGAGATGCGGGGGGATGAGAGAGGGGAGCCGACAAGTTCCTGATCCCAGGATCCCGCTGCATATGAAAAGTCTCTGCAGGAACTTTCCCTAAATCTTTGGAAGGATCTCTCTGTGACGGGCTTTCCCCTTCCCTGCATCGCCTGCCCTGAGCCTGCCTTCTGGACCCTCTTCTGGGCCACCGGCCTCCCCAGTCAAGTGGTGTCCGTTCTTGTCTAGGCATTAGACCGGGGGGGGGAGGCGGTTTCCAGTGCCAACTGAGAAAAACCTTTATTTCAGTTTGCCCAGACCCAAAGAATATCCCAGAGCACCTTTAGGTGGGGTGACCGTGTCGGGATGAGCGTTCAGAGGAAAGAGTCACCTCTCACTTCCGCATGCATGGGCTTGCAAAGGTGGAAGGGCGTTCTTCCTCAGCATTTCTTGGGGGGGGGGATGTATTTGATCTAATGGTTGCAGAGGATTTCCACTGAAGCTGGGGTGGCTGTGCCATCTCTCCCTGGGCACACACGCACCCAGTCTCCCATTTTGAAGAGACCCTTGTCCAGCAGGCCGAGGCAAAGAGGGAGTCACAAAAGCAGCAAAACCAGGGAGCTGTACAGGGGACAGAGATTGTATTTGTCCTCAGTGTGGAAGGGATGGTCACTCTCGAATTGGCCTTCTCAGCCACACTAGACGCTGTTCCACGTCCTCCATACAGAGCACGTGACCCTCGTCTCTCGAGACTGAAGGATGCCTAACTAACTAAATGGGGGGTGGCTGCTGCCTGTCTCTGTAAGTGGCCCCACAACTGGAAAGCAGATTTTAAAGGGGGGGGGAAGCCTGCTTTCTGATCTTTGTAGGCGCGTGACCACCCGCCAACCCCACCAGAGTCAATAGGTGCGGATGAGCGCCATTTCTCCAGGGTGTGCCGGTCCTCGTCCCTGAATATGGCAGGAAACCAAAAGCACCGCTCTCTACCCCTTTCCTCCTTGGGAATTCTGTCCTGCTGCCTCCCTGAGAGGCATCTGCCCGTCTCCCGTCTGCAGAGCGGAGCCCCTTGTCAATGCTGTGTGGGTTCTGTCCTGTTCGGAGGGAAACACCCACACACACACCAATCCCTCCCCGGCTCAAGGGCTTTTCGGTGTAACATGTTTTGCTTCCTTGTCCCCCCAGCAGCCGCCTGGGGCCGAGCTACCAAGAATGCCGGCGTGTAAGGCTCAGGTACACCCCACCTGCGCTGGCTTTGTCTCCCCCCCCCGCCCTTTGTCTGCTGCACCCATTCCGGAGGGGCGGGGATCCTCATTCTGCTTGTAAGCCCTGACATCCGCCTGTCCTCCTTGTCATGCTGTGTGAGCTCCTCTGACATGTTAAGCTCTTTGCATGCCCGCCTGCGTCTCCTCAGGTTGATCCCTGCCAATCACAAATGTCTCTTCTCGCAACGCAGCCCGGCCTTTCACGTATCGTCCGCGCCTCTCAGTCTCATCAGCCGAAAGCCGGGGAAATGGAAAAATAGCGCCACCAGAGCTTCCAGAGTGTTTTCATTGCGAATGCTTTAGCGCATTTCACAGATTGCCCCGTATTTGAGTCGCCTCGTCATGTATTATTTCTCATGGGATCGTATGGCTTCGTAACAGATTTGCAAAGCAAGCGTTTCATTGTCCTGAGCTTTTTCTCATCTTTCTAAGCAAGAAACAAAGCTGAAATCCCAGACTCACTTATCCGGGAATAAGTTAATAATAATAATAATATGTTAACAGACAAAGACCTGTACCTTCAAAAGTCATTTAGGTGGGTTGACACACCGGGAGAAACACATGACCATATTTATTTATTTAAAATAGGTTTATCCCGCTTTTCTCCTTAAAAAGAACCCCAAACTATTTAGCATACAGAGAAAAATCTCATGTTGATGTTGGAGCGTTGTGCATTTGGATGCGGCTTCCAGAACTTTCCAGCCACTGACAGTGTTAGTTGAAGAAATTTGTTGAGGTTTTTAGTCTGGGAAAAAAAGTAAGCTTTCTAAGTTCTGCGGTTAGGTCCCGGAGGTGGACTCTCGTGTACCTCTGCGGACAAGCAGGCCTGCATCACAGGTGGATGCCCCGAAGGTCACGTGCAATTCTTCTTATTTGTATCTTACAAACCTTTGGTCCGATTCCCAGCTTTCATTCCAGGGGCCAGCTGACAGTCTCGCCCCTGAGCGGCCACTTCTTTGGTAGAAACAGAAAGCTAGTAGTTTGATCATTCTGCAGGGGCCGAAGACTGGCGTCAGCCCCAGCTTCTGTATTCTAACCTATCGCATAGCTGGTTGGGAGTTCGAACCCTCCACCGTTCCTCCTGGAGAGGGGCTAGACTTGATGATCCATAGGGTCCCTTCCAGCTTTAAAGTTCTAAGATGATGATTCTGATCACGGTCTTCTGTGCCCTAGAAGAAAGATGTCTGATAGACAGGTGGAGCTGTGCTCGGGCGGGTTTCAGGACCAAATTTCCCGGTTGTTGGTCTGGTTTCTAAGGGTGTTGCCAATATTAAGGAAGGGCAGGAACTGCAGGGCCTGGCTTCCTGCTGCAAATCCCACGCTGCCTCTGTCTGTGAGATGTGACCGCTCTCCCTTCCGTCCCACCTCATGCTCATCATCTGCCTTGCCTCCTAGATGTCTCTCTCAGCCGACCTCGCCTCCCGGCCAAAAGCAGCAGGTCTTCCAAGCTGGGCGACCTACGAGCCCACCGGCGACCCGGTGACCAAAAGCACAGCCAAGACCCTTGCCCAGACGGCCCTCTGGAATGCGGGGATACGGCCCGCGCCTGTTCAGGGGCCGATCCCAAGGCTGAGCGAGAAGGGGCAGAAGGCCTTCACCCGGACCAGCCGAAGCTCCCCCAGTAAGTGAACAGCCCGGGATGGGCTGCAGGTGAGGACAGGTGGGCTTCCGAAGGGGGCAAGCCCTCCCTGAGCGGATGCTCATGAGCTCTTCCAGTCTGCTGCTTCGTGGTGGAAGACACCCCCTCCTTTTTTCTGATGGGTCTCCTTCAGCTGTAGATCTCACTGTTCAGGGCTCAGGACTACACCTTCCCTGATTCCTGACGGCCACACTGGCTAGAATGCTCTGGGAGTGGTATTCCAACGCGGTAAGATTTCCAGGCCCTTTGGCTGTTTTGGCCCACTGTTCTTTTCAGGGCGGCTGTCTCTCGCTCTCTCCTCTCTCCTGAAATCAGAGGAGACCAGAGTTATAGCTCAGGGCTCTTCCAGACGGAAGATTTTACTTCCGCGCTTTCTTTGTTGGAAGAATTCAATTCAATGAAGTACTAAAAATGACATTTCTAACCCCCCAGTTTCTACCTCTTGCGGTGTTAATTGTCTAATCTCTCTGCCCGTTCCAGCCTCTCCTCTCTTCGGAAGCAGGCCCTGGCAAGTCCCGCCATCCAGCCCTGGGTCTGAGGAAGAGCAGGAAAAGAGACAAAGGCAGATCTTCACAACATCCCCACTGAAATAATCTCCCAAAGAGGAAGAAAGCCTTCCCGGTTCCACCGCCTGGACGTTTGTCTTTCCAGCCTCCATGAAGACCAGTTGTGTGGAGGCAGAGACCACAGATGGGTCACATCTGGATTTCCATGGTGGACTGTTTGAAAAGACCACTGGACAGTCCGGTTCAAGCCCTTTCCGTGTGGCCTCGGACGAGCCGCTGTGTCTCTCACCAGTGAAGAGGGAACAATCGCAATTTACCTCGTAGGGTGGTTGTGTCAATGTGCGTTAGAGCAGGGTTCCCCAACCCTCAGTCCACGGCCGTGGCCGGTCCATGGCCATGGCAAGACTGGAGACAGATCTGCCCCCTACACACACGCACTCCCCTACCTACCCACCCACACGCATGGCCACCACCCACATGCACAGGTGCCACGTCCACCCGTGAGCATGCCCCTCCCCTCTGTGAGAGCACCTCGCCCCTTTGCACATGTGCACGAGTGCTCTCCACCCAGCTGCGAGTTTGCCCCACCCCTTCGTGCATGCGTGCCAGTGCATTCCGCCCATGCGCGCTAGCACTTCCCTCCACGAGCGAGCTCCACCCCTTTGTGGATGTGTGAGAGCATGCCACGCCTCCCCACGAATGAACTCCACCCCCAAAACCAGTCTGTGACTCCAAAACGGTTGGGGACCACTGCATTAGAGGAATTATCCCAGGGCAATCCTATCCATTTCTACTTAGAAGTAAATCCCACCATGCTTCGTAGGGTTTAGTCCCCAGTGTGTACGTACCAGGCTTATAGCCCAAAATACTTTGGAAAGGGGGTAGCTGTCCTTGCCTAACTTATTCTGGAGTGTGGCACAGCATAAGCAGTAGGCAAAGAGGGTGGGGGAAGGTGCCTTTGAGTTTGGGTGTAGGGCTGAGGGCTAATCAGTGGAAAAATCATGAATGAACAGAACGATCCGGGCCAACTGGACAGGTGCCGTGTTGATCTCTACGCCCTTTGCTGCTCTCGGCTTCTCCTTTTCCTTGTGCACCTTGTTCCCAGTAAGAATAATAATTGGGTACCATCAATTCTGAACTATGGTGGTCCTTTTCGTTGTATTCCAGGTCCTCAGAAGTGGGTTCTTGTTTCTTGGGACAGCTGTGCAGCTTGCTCAAGGCCACCCCGTTTGGCTCTGCTCACAGGAGACCCAATTTTTTGGGGGGGGGATCAAACTCTCAGCCTCTGGCTCCCTAGCCGGATGGCAAATCCTCCAGCCAGCTAGGAGGCCGTTCCCAGCACCCCTTGCTTTAATTCAGACTCCGCTCAGATGCTGTCATTGTCACATCATGGCAGGGCCGTAAATGTTGGCACGGGGGGGGGGGGGAGAAACAGCACTGCCTCCCCCTTCTGTCCCAGACGCAGCCCTCAGCCCCTGCCAAGGGGAAGGAGAAAAAAAAAGACACAGTATGCAGTGCTCCTCGAAAGAAAAAAGATCTGTGTTCCGAAACCAAAATGCAAGGGGACAGAGCTGAGAGATGTTGCTGTGTGTCTTCCATCATCCACCCATAGATTGTCTTTTAGATTTTGGCCCTCTCTGAAGTCTGGCACCCTGGGGGAAAAGTTCCCATCGCTCCACCCTAGTTATGGGGCGAAGAAGCGACTTGGATGAGGAGCGAAAAGTTTCAACCTAAAAAAAAAAAAGTCCAGTAGCCAGGAAATCCATGTCCGCGCAACCTCCCCAGGATGCCTGGGAATCTTCACAGATACACTCCCCCCTAAGTTAATGGCCTGCATCCTTGGAAGAAGGCGGTTTGGCAATCCCACTCTTCTCTCGTGGATTAAACCTGCACCTCACTCCCGAATGCCAAGCATGTCTCAAAGCAGGATAATGCGCAGGCCACCAGAGATCCGAAAACCTCGTGGTTGAACCATTTAAGGAGCTGCTCGTTCCAGCAGCCAGATCTCCGTAGCCTTTAGCTCAGCAACCACAGCTCCTTTCCTGAGGGCAGGCGGTCCTTCCCAGCTCCTTGGCTGAGGAGGCCTCGTAAAGCACCCCGTGCCATAAAATGGATGACATGTCGGGAAATCCTGGTCTTTCCCAATCATTTTGGAGATGAAGGTCAGACATCCAAAAATACGGTTGCTTTTCTCGCAGACTGGGCAGACGCCCCAGGAACGAGTAGAAGGAGCAACAGATTGAGAGAGTTAACCCTTTGGGACAACCATGTCCGGAATTCTCCAGCCGACTCCCCCAAACTCTGATGCTCCAGCGCATTTTATGGGAAAAGTTGCTTTTGAGCTGAAGGGAGTGCTTTGGTTCTCCTGGAATGTTTCCTCCTCCCCTGCAGACCTTCGATCTGCCTGGGATTTTGCAAATTTCACTTTCTGTTGGGAGAGGGTTGCCCTCAGGCGGCCAGATGGTCCCAGTGCAGCCGCGAGGGCCTCCAGAATGGCTCCGCAAGCCGAGAAGTGCAATACGACTGAACGCTTAGGAAACCTGCTTTTATAAAGGATAGTAAACCTTGAGAAGGCCAGCTGCAAACGTAGTTTAATAAGAACAGAAAACAATTCTCATTTGCGCTTTCTGTTGAATCTGAACAGGCTGTACAAGATAATTCTGTGGGTAGCAAGGGCGGGGAGGGAAAAAAAAATCCAAAATGCAAAACTCAGATTGTTCTCTCCAGATAGAACCCAATGTCATCCTTAATTGGTTTTTTATTTCTAAAAGGGTGGGCCATCCTGGGGAGTCAAATCGGACAACACAGGCAGTGATCCTGTGGCGTATCAGGTGTGTCTGAGAAATCAGACTTGCCTGCTGAGCCTGTTTCTTTCCCAACGGCCAATCACAAAACCAAGCAAGCTGTTTTGGAAGAAAGCAAAGTGAGAAATCTCGTGCTAGAACAATCAGAGCCGTTGATCACTGCATTGCCTCCCCCCCCCCCAGCCCAATGGAAACCTTGTGTTTCCAAAGAAGGCGATGGAGGTGTTGGAGTGGGGGGGGGGAAACAGAGGTGGATGCAGATTTCGTGGCAGTTCTTGGTTTTAAGAGTTGGGAGTAGAGATGGGCACAAGTGGCCAGTTTGCGCGATTCGTGCTGGTTCGCTCCTTGGCCGAACACCTAAACGAACCGCATGAACTGCCAAACTAGTGGTTCGTTGCCCATCTCTAGTTGGGAGGTCAGTTCCAAGCACTCTGGTGACTGGAGGGGGGGGAGTTCTCCCAGAGAGTGCAGCAGCTATATAGGAGAGTTTTCTAAAGGAAATAGGAAAAGGCTGTGTGGTTCAGGATTACACCGAACGTACATACGAGTAAGGTGAGACCTCCATTAAACCACTAAAAGAAAATCAAACAAATTGCAAGCTTCAGTGGAGAAAATCCCACTTTCTTGGCACCACTTCTTTATGGATGGAAATATTGTACTAAGGTGAGACCTCCATTAAACCACTAAAAATAAAATAAAATAAACAAATTGCAAGCTTCTGTGGAAAAAATCCCACTTCTTTATGGATGGAAATATTGTAGTCCCAAAAATGGATAGAAATATTGTAGGTCAGAATCCAAAAATTCATGGCAGATCTCTGTGCGGAGTCCACCTCGCCTCTGAACTCGTCTCCCACAAGCAGACTCAGCCTGGATCCTCTGCCGTGAATTCCTGGGACTCCGACTGACAATATTTCCACACTCTCCATGAAGGGGAGGTGCCCCTCCCGAGGAAGTGGGGTTTGACCCACAGAAGCTTGCAATCTACTTGATTTTTTAAAGTGATTCAATAAAAGTATTACCTCAACTCTTGCATTATTCTAAAGGAAGCCTACTCCAGCCTCTTGCTTCCTGGGGGGGTGGTCAGATGGCCTGTCGCTCTCCAGCATCCTTTTGCAGATGACTGGATCCCTGTTGGCCACATCTTTGGTGGCGGAAAGGGTGAATGGGAAGACAGAGGGAGAAAGAGACGATGGAGTGGGGGAATTAAGAAGAAGAAAGCCAATTTCTGGGGGAGAAAAGACCCTCGGCCTCCCACGCTTTTTTTTGCTCTTGCAAGCTCAGCCGGGACCATGTCTTGCTTCTCTTCCTTCCTTGAGTGTCTCAAGGAAAAAAGAGAAAAACAACGTAGAGGGATGATCTTAAGAAAGCAAAACAGACTGAGGGCAAAAACAGAGAGAGGACAATTAGAAGCATTTTTCTACTGTTCAAAACAAGTTGCAGGTTCGCTTGCAATCTCCCCTGAACGATTGCTCATGGGAGAGAAGTCTGGAATTCGTTGGTGTGCTGGTTTTGCCATCTCAAATGCTTTGAAGAAAGGCGTATTTGGAGGGATAAATGTTTTATTGCCTTCCAGTCAGCTGGCATTTTGCCTGTTTTCTCCCTGAGCACATAAGGTGTGACTCCCAGGAAATGACCTGTCATGAACTCAAAGAAAGGGGTGGGAGACCTTCTTGGTGTCCCCTTCTGCTATTAGTTGGTGCTAATAAGGTTATTGCTTTATTAATATTTTTGTACAACCCCCCCCCATGTACTCTTCCCATATTAAATAGCATTTTTTTTTCCTGGCCTGGACCATCCTTAAAAAGCAGGGCGATATTTTTTTGGCAGCTTGGTTTGTGATCAGACTTTAGCAGACGAGTGTTACCCACCCATCATGACAATAACTTCTCCAAACCCTTCTAGTGAGTCTTTTCCCCCACCCTCCGTCGTTATCTTCTCCGTTCCATTGCTCAGTAGAAGACCTTCTCCAGGTAGGTGTTCATGAACATTCCTCTGGGGTCCAGTTTCTCCCTGATGGAGCAGAATTCCTGGAAGCTCGGATACATCCGCTCAAAGTCCTTCCGGGTGCAGGTGTGAGCCTGGGAACGCAGAGATGGTTTTAAGACCCTGACTCTCCATCCATATGATGGTGGCCAAATTTGATGGGAGCTGATACTCTGGCAACATCTGATACGAACTCGCATTCCCAAGTCCCACTATAGACTCTTGAACAATCTCAGTGTAAAAACATAAAATTATAGAATCGTGGAGTGGGAAGGGGTCTTGAAGGCTATCAAGTCCAATCTCATTTACGCCAGTTCTGGGTAGGAGTCTCTTCCTAAGATCTCAATCAGAAAACGGTCTGTCCCATGATACCTTTTTTGGGGGAGGGGGGGAACAGGGGAACTAACATTGAATCAAGAAATTGGAAGGGGCCTAGAAGGCCATCCAACCCCCTACTCAGTGCAGGAATGCAAGTATATGAGTTTCCAACCCCCTACTCAATGCAGGAATGCAAGTATATGAGTCTCATTCGAAAAAAGCAACTCCTCTCAGTTCTGCACTGGAGATGCCAAGGATTCACCCAAGCACCTGCCTGCATGCTTTCATTTTCTTTTTTACATCTGTCTTCTTTTGGCAAACAACATTAAGCCGAGTGTCCTGCCCCTGGTACCTTTGCCCAGTGTGGTCTCCCTCCAAACTTCTTCATGATCCCTTCGTAGGCGAGCCAATAGTCAAGGTGGGGGACATCCTTCCCGTAGGGTCTAGGCGGAAGAGGGGAAAGAAAGAGAGCCAGGATTAGCATCATCCCAAGCACAGAACCAGGGCTATTCAGAGCGCAACTCGAAAAGCCTTGCTCTTGGCTTGAAGGCAGGCATAACACATGCCACTCAAATACCCTGCTAGAAAATGGTCCCTTTCTAGCTGTGGAGGCCCCCCCTTGCTTGAAACTAATAATGGTTAAGCTGAAATTACTAGGCAGAGAAATGTCACTCTGGACATCTGCTTTTCCCCAGAAACCTTTTCTGTGGAGCACTAGAGTGGCCTTAGTAGCCAGATGGGTGGTATATAAACTGAATGAATGAGTGGATGGATGGATGGATGGATGGATGGATGGATGGATGGATGGATGGATGGATGGATGGATGGATGGGTTAGTCGATGGATGGATGGATGGATGGATGGATGGATGGATGGATGGATGGATGGATGGATGGATGGATGGATGGATGGATGGATGGATGGATGGATGGATGGGTTAGTCGATGGATGGATGGATGGATGGATGGATGGATGGATGGATGGATGGATGGATGGATGGATGGATGGATGGATGGATGGATGGATGGATGGATGGATGGGTTAGTCGATGGATGGATGGATGGATGGATGGATGGATGGATGGATGGATGGATGGATGGATGGATGGATGGATGGATGGATGGATGGATGGATGGATGGATGGGTTAGTCGATGGATGGATGGATGGATGGATGGATGGATGGATGGATGGATGGATGGATGGATGGATGGATGGATGGATGGATGGATGGATGGATGGATGGATGGGTTAGTCGATGGATGGATGGATGGATGGATGGATGGATGGATGGATGGATGGATGGATGGATGGATGGATGGATGGATGGATGGATGGATGGATGGATGGATGGGTTAGTCGATGGATGGTATTGCAGAGAGTGTCATCCTGCCCTCTACAGGCAGTGTTCTGGCCACTCCTTCCTCTGACCCCTCAGCCCCAATGGCCTTTGGCATGACAGCCAGAACCAATGAAAAAGTGGCCAGGCTATGCATGTGGGCCGTGGAGGAGAGAAGGGTGATCCTGAAGGCGACAGCTTGCAGGGATATTGCCAAAAATCACAGAATCATTCATTAATTGAATTGGAAGGGCCCTCAAAGGTCACCAAGACCAACCCCCTGCTTGAGGCAGGAATCTAAGTCAAAACCGATCTGACAGATGGTGGTCCCATTTTCTTTCACCACCTCTCGAGTTCATGGATTCCATCGTCGTACTGCTCTAACAGTTAAGACTTTTTCCTGATCTCCAGCCTAAATCTGGCTTCCTGTCATCTGAGTCCATTCTTACACGTCCTGCACTCTGGGATGACTGAGAACAGATTCTGCCCCTCCTCTGTACAATCTTCCAAGTCTTTGAAGAGTGTGATCCTGTCTCCCCTGCGTCTTCTTTTCTCGAGTCTAAACAGCCCCAGTTCTTTCCATCTTTCCTCCTCAGAGGGCTTGGTTTCCAGTCCCTTGATCCTCCTGGTTGCCCTCCTCTGAACTTACTGTAGTCTGTTGGACTTGTCCAGAAAAATTCATGTTAAATATATATATATATATATAAGTTGTCTTGAAGATGCTAGTCCTTTTTTTTTTACTTTTTACTTTTTTGTTTTCACCTATAATGCTTGCACAGACTAACATAGCTACCCCTTCCATAACTCCATTTTGTTGGTATCCAGAGCAGGACACAGCACGCTTGAGGAAGCCTCACCAGTGCTGAATAGAGGGGAACTAGCACCTCGCGGGATTTGGAGACTGTGCTTCTGTTAATGCGTCCTCAAACTGCATTGGCCTTTTTTGCAGCTGCATCACGCTCTTGGCTCATATCCAAAATCCCTCCTCCTGTTTTCATCCACTTCGGCCTGTCCAATTTGCCCCATCCACCCACCCACCCCCGTTTGGCTCTTTGATACCCCAGGAGAACCTTCTTTCCAGCTGGTGTGGGAGGCAACCCCACACCTTCCGCAGCCTAGGTGGCTCTGAGGGGACCGTCCCCTTTGTACCTGTACATGATGATGTTGAGGTAGCAGCTGTCCCTCTGGAAACAGGGGCTCAACAGGAAGTCGTCCCCCCGAGTGAATCGCACTTCCACTGGATAATGGGCGACCACTTTGGGGTTGTTCTCCAGGACCTCCTTCAATTCCAGAAGAGCCTCCTCGCGCTTCTCACTACAACAGGACAGGAAAGGACAGGACAGGACTCACCCCTCCGACCAGAGAGACTCTTCAGAACAGAAGAAGCTGTGTGTGTTTCCTTTTTACAAGGAACTGTGTGGACTCTGGAGAGGAGCTGATCTCAAGCCAGAGATCCGGAGGAGAAGAAAAGACCCCGGTTTCTTCTTTCTTTTCCTCCCACTTGCCCCCAACCAAAAGGGTTTTTTAACATTTATTTATTTATTTAAAAAGTTTTCAAACCAACTTTCTCCTTAAAAAAAAAGAAGACTGCTAAAAACAGTAAATAAACAAATTCTTTAAAAAATCAAACAAATTCCATTCTGAGAAATGGTAAACCAAAACAACACCAAAACACATTCAAAGCGGAAAGGCATAACAAATGTATCTAAAAAAAATCACACACAGGCAGTTGGTTACTGAGGGGAGGCGTGACTGAAGAGAAAGGTCTTCTTCGCCTGCTTGTGGAAGGACAGCGAAGAGGGGGCCAGTATGGCCTCCAGTGGCAGGGAGTTCTACAGTCTCTGGGAGCCTCCACAGAGAAGGTCCTCCCCCATGTCCCCATCACAGGTGGTGGGATGAAGAGAAAGGCCTCCCCTGGTGATCTCAACCCCCTGGGCAGGCTCATAATAGGAGACACGGCCTTTGAGATGGTTTGGACCCAAGCCGTTTCGGGCTTCAAAACCCGCACTTTGAATTGTGCCCAGAAACGGAACGGCAGCCAGTCTCTGTGACCGGCATCTTTAGAGGACAGGAGTCAGAACTCTGTGCCCATCATATTTCTATGATGTTATTACCAGAACTGGCCACTAGAGGGGGCCAGAGACCATGCTATGGATAGCATTCCTTATTACAATCATGTTTGCTATTATCCGCATTTCTCAGTATCTGCAGGGTGCTTGGGACTGATCCTCCACAGATGCAGGGGGCCTACCGTACCCGTTGCCCCACCTGCCAGCCAGTTCATTTTGGAATCCAGTGTCTTATTTTGCCTCCTCCCGCCAGATCTCTGCGTGAACCCCAGTCGGCTTACATAGGAATGGCCCAATCCTGGACGTGCTGCTTGAAACGGCACTCGTAGTTGAAAATCTTGTAGCTCACATTGACGTTTTCCACTTTGCTGGTGAAGAGGAGCCAGAAGAAGAAGCGGTTGATCCAAGTAACCAAGAACGGCAGGAAGGTGCTGGAAGAGAAGGCGAGAGAAGGAGCTGTGATAAAAAAAGACGGGGTAGTGGGAGAACATTGCCCGCTCTGGCCCCGGGTGGGTTGCAGACATGATGGTGGATTGGGGCCTGAACAGAAACAGGGAGAGGCTGTGCCCTTTTGCTGCAGAAATGCAGAGATTTCCCTCCTTCCTTAGAGGCATGTGTGGAGGGAGGATGAACGAAGAATGATATGTTGTAGTAAAAAGTGCCTTTCTCAGTGCTGGGGTGCACTGAGAAAGGCAATTTTTGCCTTCCTCCTCCCCCCAGCTTCTGCAGACGGTGAATGGAAGATAGCTGCCAGTGGTGGGACTCTGTTCTCACACAGCTCTCCTCTCATCCAGGCTTACGGATCAATGACGGATACGTTGAATTATTTATCAGCCAACATCCTGCTGAACATTTACACCGGAGTCATGAAAACTGGCTCAGGTGCGTTTGTAAATTGCTGCGAGTTAAGGCGTTCAGGTTGCCAAGGGAGTCCCGGGGCAGGTTGCGCCAGCCCTTGAGGCTGAGTTCTCGGCAGGTGCACCTTGACCTGCGCAAGAGCCCGTCATGGACAAGGGCTGGCAAGAGACACAGTTGCAGGGAAAGGACGTGGGAGGGGCCAGATTTCTCTGCGTTGGCCTGCATTGGTCAGTGCCTGTTCCGTGACTGTTCCTTTCTGTCTGTTTTTATTCTGCCTAGACAGGGACATTCTAGCATGATGAAACGGAAACCAGGATCAGCCGGGACCACAATATCATCTGCTACACCACCCCCAGATTTCCCTCTCCATCTCAATTTACCTGCAGTAGCTGCAATGAAAACATAATTTTCCAACAGCAAGATATTCTTGAGAGATATTCAAGACCAAGCATTTTGAAGTGGCTTGGTCTTGAAAAAGGCAATCAGGAGCCATTAGCCTTACAGATGACCCGTTCCAGCTGAATATGAACATTGACACAGATTGACAGAGCTGCATGCATTTTTGTTCATTTTATCCTTAGGGGAGAGGTAGCTAAGGTTACTTCAAAATCTGCTACTACACCCTTGTTCCTTCTGACACAATTCCTTATTCAGAGGCTGGTTTCCAGGAGCAGATCACACAGCGGCCTTTATTTCAGCAGCCTAAAATTTAGGTGGGAAAGGTTATTCTGCTGCAGTTGGGAGTCAGGAATCTCTACAGATCTCCTGCAACTCATCCAGAGATCTCCCGAGAGACCTGGACCGTTTTCTGCTCACATTTAAGCAACCTATGGGGTTTATTCCAACTGCTCGCCACAAGATGGCATGGTGGCTTCAGCCATCAGACAGCCAGTCTGGGCTGGAGGAAGGATGATTGCCCTGGATTTACAGTACAAGGGAAGGCAGCCTGCTTGTCTGTCTATCTGCCCCTCTGTCTGTCCGTCTGCTTAGTCAACCATTGATTTATCAGCTGGGAGAAAATAGCTCTTCAAGAGCCAAGCAGGGCTCAAAACATCCATTATTCTAGACAATACACTTTGATTTGATGGAATTCTCATTGGGCTCAGAGGAGGGTTAGAAAGCAGTATTTAGTTGCCAAAACTTTTTTTTAAAAACCTAGCCAGAAGTGGAAGAATTTATTTCTTTTCACTAGCCTCACAAATTCTGACATTCTCAGAAGCAGAACCAAAAAAAAACAACCCAAACCTACGTACAAACATTTCCAAATTCTGAGCCTAATCCTGACCATCTGGAAAATGGACTCAATTTTAAACCCTCTGAAAAGAGATGAGGTACAAACAGAAGGAATCAGTAAATAAACATCTCACTAAACGCTTTCACTATGTGCCATAGAGTTGTTTCAAGGATGATTGGGGGACTTATCATCTTTGGGGATGTTTAGGCTTGAGGAAACAAAGACTGAGGGAAGATAGGACAGCATTTTTCAAATATCTGAAAGGCTGTCCTCCAGAGGAGGGGCAGGATCTGTTTTCAATCATCCCAGAGTGCAGGACACGCAACCATGGGCTCAAGCTACAGGAAGTCAGATTTCGGCTGAATATCAGGAAAAACTTCTCAACTGTTAGAGCAGTACGACAAGGGAACCCATGACCTCAGGGGGAGGTGGTGAGCGCTCCAACCCTGGAGGCCTTCAAGAGACAATTGGACAACCTTCTGCTTTGATTTCAATTCCTGCCTTGAGCAAGGGGTTGGACTCAATGGTTTTATAGGTCCCTTCCTACTCCATGATTCTATGTTTTTATGACTCTGATTTACGGCAACCAGAATAGAGTTTTCAAGGGAAACGAGCTGTGCCATGATCAGTTTACCAGTTCCACACACATACCCTTCCGTTTCCAAAGCCCAGAGGGGATTTAAACTGAGGTCTCCCGAGTCGCATGCCCCATGCTTTATATCCATTACCCCAGTGGGCTTTCACTCCACCCATCCATGCATGGCACCAGTGGCTCCCACTGACCCTGGACTGCAATGTGACCTCATACTTGCCTGATCCAAAGAAGAAACTCCAGCAGGTAATATCCAACGGCATAGTCCCAAAACCAGGTCGTGGAGGAAGACGGCGGCTGCAGGCAGACAAACAAGAGAGATGGGTCATGACGTCTCTTCTTAAGGCCTGAGGGGGTGAACTCCCACCCACCACTGTGCATGACATGCGCAGGTAAGAGGCCAGGTTTCCCGGGTGCCCTCTAGTCACGGGGGAATCCCAATCCTGACCTTCTTACCCTTTTCTCCTCCAAGAGAACGCAGGACAAGCTGCTCCCTGAGCTGCCAGCCTGGGAAGTTTTACCTTGTTGGTGTGGTCTTGGTAGATGACGCTCACGTTCTCGCTGTGGGGAAACCAAAGGAATCGGAAATATTCTGATTTCTTCAGGTGGCTGTCTAAGTTGTCCAGGACCTGGGGGTGAGAAAGAACTGAGTGCGAACAAGAGTCTTGTTAAATGCAGGCAACGGCTCCGGTCTTTCCTCTCACCCCTTCAGGCCTGTTCTTGTATAAGGAGAAAGGCAGGATAAAAGTGTTTTTAATAAATGAAATAAAATATGCGGAAGGGTTTACAAAACTTGCTGACCAAGTACGACTTGAGTCGTTTTGCTTCTGGAGAAAGTTCAGACTTGATGAGATCTGGCCCCTATTTGTTTGTGGTTTTTTTGGCAGTCCATGGTATCCATAAAATGGTACCCCAGCACCCTATTTTGTCTGATTTGATCTTTGTGCTGCTGATTTTCTTCACAGCTTCCACATCCTTCCACATCCACTGTTGGTATCATGACATCAGCGATGTGGTCCTGGTTTGCAGAGACACATTCTTCTGCCTGATGATCTTTTCCCGAGCCAATAACCATTAAAATGGTGACTCCGGTACTTTCTGGTGTGGCGCCACTAGAATTCCCAGTGTGAGAGTTAAGGACAGACTTTGATTATTCTGGGTCCCTGAGGAGAAAGTACTTGAAAATGCTTTTTTGCTTTTATAGCCACATTAGTGGGCTTATCCTCATACCATTGCATTTTGGACAAAAAAACCCCCACAAAACACCAACCATGGCATTCCAAAAAATTACACATCTATGAACGTAAATGAAGAACAGCAGACAATGGGGCCCAAAGGACATGACCCTGGAACTGTGGTAGATCACAAAGTGGATATGAGCCAGCCGTGTGATGGAGCTGCACAAAGGACCAATGCGATTTCGGGCTGCATTAACAGAAGGACAGTCTCCAAATCCTGTGAGCTGCTGGTCCCCTTCTATTCAGCACTGGATAGGCCTCAGTTTGAGTAGTGAGTCGAGTTCTGGACACCACGCTTCAGGAAGGATGCTAGCAAATTGGAACAAGTTCAGAGGCGGATGACAAGGAGGATCAGGGGGCTGGAAACCAACCCCTAGGAGAAGAGGCAGAAAGATCTGGGCATGTTTACCCTTAAGAAAAGAAGACTAAGGGGAGATAGGTTAGCTCTCTTCAAAGACTTGAAAAGCTGTCCTACAGAGGAGGGGCAAGATCTGTTCTCGACCATCCCAGAGTGCAAGACACGCAACGATGGGCTCAAGTTACAGGAATCCAAATATCGGTTGAACATCAGGAAAAACTTCCTGTTAGAGCAGTATGACAATGGAACCCATGACCTTAGGAGGAGGCGAGCGCTCACATGCTAGAGGCCTTCAAGAGAAGATGGGACAACCATCTATCAGATCAACGTTGACTTGGATTCCTGCCTTGAGCAGGAGATTGGACCCGATGGCCACAGAGGCCCCTTTCAGCTCCATCGTTCTAGGATTCCACGAGTCTCTGAGAGGAAAGGAGAGCCAGTGATGCTGACTTTGTGCAGAGCTTCAGTGACTACGAGTCAAGATCAGTCGTCATCCGCAGAACCACTAACAGGGGAGATAAGCACAAGTTTTCCTAGCTGAAGAATCGATCTCAGGTTGCAGGGCGGAGAAGAAGGAGAATCTTCTGGAAGCACAAGCCGGCTTCTGTCAACCAGCGTGAGCTTTGTGCGGAGAGCAAAGAGATCAGCACTGTTAGTTCATTTTTTAAAAAAAAAATGACCTGATTTTGAGACTCCATTTGTTGGACAGACAAAGATGGAGGAAGAGGGCAGAGCTTATTCATCCTGAAGCATGGTCCCCGCGCTTCTTGACTTTGCTAGCCTGAGTTAGCCTCATTAAGAAGATGGAATGATTTGCCATCCACAAATCATTTGCAGCACCCTTGATGAAACAGCTGGCCTCACTCTGATTCGGAGCCTTTGTGGTTCTCTTCTTTCACTCCCGTGGATGGCACTTAAAGAGGGAGGGCTCACTTAGCCAGTGCCCCTTTGACCGAGGTAAAAAAAGGTAAAGGTTCCCCGTGACCTTGAGTCCAGTCGTGTCTGACTCTAGGGTGCGATGCTTATCCCCATCTCCAAGCTGTAGAGCCAGCATTTGTCCGTAACAATGGTCATATGGCCAGTGCAACTAGACATGGACCGCCGTGACCTTCCCACCGAGGTGGTACCTATTTATCTACTCGCATTTTTACATGCTTTCCAACAGCTCGGTTGGCAGGAGCTGGGACAAGCGACGGGAGCTCCCTCCGTCCTGTGGATTCGATCCTACGACGGCTGGTCTTCTGACCTTGCAGCCCAGAGGCTTCTGGTGGTGGTACCTATTTATCTACTTGTATCTTTACATTTTTCCATGCTTTCGAACCACTAGGTTGGCGGGAGCTGGGACAAGCGACAGGGGCTCACTCCGTCGTGTGGATTCGATCTTACGACTGCTGGTCTTCTGACCTTGCAGTCCAAAGGCTTCTGCGGTTTAACCCACAGCACCACCCACGTCCCTCCCTTTGACCTCACCCTTCTGGTAAATGCACGGTGCCACAAGATGGTCAGGGGAACCGTGTGCACCTCCCTCTCCAGCGACAGGCTGAGGCGGCTGCCGTGTCCACCGCCACCCCTGCGAGGTGGGGGCACAGGAGGGACAGCATTCGATCTCGTCTTACGTTCTGCCTCCCTGCGACATATAACTGATTAAAGGTAAACAAGTGTGTCCTCCTTTTTAAAAAAAGTAACTTTCTTTAAAAGTTATTATTTTAAAAACCCATGTCTGGGAACCTTTCTCATTTCAGAATTTATGTACAATTTTATTCTTTTTAATACATCCCCTGCTCTCTGGCCTATTCCCTATCATTTCTCCTGCTCCTTCACACACCTAACTCGAGAAGGATCATCACTATGGTTGTTTTATGGTTTCAATGTCACCCGAGTTTAAGGTTCGCTTTGCATTTAAAACATGAACATTTCCCCAGTCAGTGACCGATGGAGTGACAGGTGGCTACCGTGGCGACCTGTCCATCGTCCCACCCTGTGACGCTACCCTGGGGTGGCAAAGTGACGTTTCTGTGAGAGATTGGCTAGCATCCCTACTCACAAGAGTAGACCCATCCATGGTGAGTCAACTCCACTGTAAGCTCCATTGAATCGGCGGGGCTTCTCTTGTTGATGCTTACTATGCCACAAAACAATATTTCATCCTGTATAAGTGCGAGGAGAGAGGTTAAGTGGGCGTGGGGATGGGTGGGGGAAGCAAAGCATGCTGCTTATACTCTATGCTACCCCAGAAGCACTTCACGCACTCTTTGGGGTGATTTACAAGTTAATCATGCAGGCTATGCACGGTCTCGCACCCTCAATGGGTACTCATTTTACCGACCGTGGATGGAAGGCTGAGCGAACCTCAAGCCGTCTACCTGGGATTGAACCTTTGGTCGTGAGCACAGTTTGGGCTGCAAAACAGCCGTTTAACCACTGCACCACCCTGGGTATCCATATAAATAGATATTTTTGGTGATGGTGGTGCTGTTATTTAGTATTTTCAGCCAGCGGATAAGTGAATCAGGTGATACTGATCCCGCGGATAGAGGGGTCCTACTGTATAGAGCCATTGACTTAGGGGAGGCTGACGTAAAAGGCAGAGAGCAGGAGACGGGGTCAGACTCGGCTGCCTCTACCTCCTCCTATGCAAAATCTTTCAGAATTTCGTGGGAGAGGAAAGTGGAAGCCACAACCCAAACAGAACTAACATCTTGGATGCTGTTTTTTTGGGAGGCTTCTTCTCCCCCCCCCCTTGTTTCTAGGAAATCTTTCAGAATTTCGTGGGAGAGGAAAGGTGGAAGAAATGCATGAGGTGGAAGCGAGGGGGGGGGGCAAGGAGAAGACAGGTCACTTTGAGAGTTTTGTTTTTCGAAAAAAATCAATATCCGATCCTCGGTGTCACCAAAGGACTATTAGGAGGATGAATGGCGACTGCCAACAGGAGATACGATAATCAGGATGATTAAGGAGAAATATTTCCTCCTCTTCTTTCTCCCACGCATCAGGTAGGTTGCTGATCTCCTAATGAGCTCAGCGCCATTTTTATTTTATTTTTTTGCTCCTTGCCATCAATCTGCCGAGAGGGAAGCAGACTGATGGGATTTCCTTTGTGGGACCAGTTTGGAGAGATGGGGAAAAAAAGCACAACGGAAAACTCCACGTTCTCTTCTGTGGTGTAGACCAGCCTTCCATAGTGTAGGGCTCTCCAGTTGTTTCGTACTACAACACCCATCAGCCTCAGTTTAACTTGGGCAAGGGGTGGAGATTGTGAGAATTTAGGGACAAAACCTTTGGGCAGAGCCAGGGCACGTAAATGTTATGCAGGAATAATCGTGCAAGTGTGAAGATGAGCAGTCTGATTGCAATATATAGATAAATATAGTGCAGGTTCTGAATGTCATGTATAAACGCTCCTACTTGAATCAGGAGGAGAAGCTGGGAGTGAAACAGTCCATGGCGCTGAATGATCCTTCTTCCCTTCTTCTCTGGGTGACACAGTTGACTTCAGGAGCCCCAGACTTTAATTGTTCATCCTAGACTTCTGTGATCCTAGAATCATGGAGTTGGAAGGGGCCCCTAAGGCCATTGAGACCAACCCCCTGCTCAAGGCAGGAATCCAAAGCAAAGGATTCTCGGCTAGGTGGTTGTCTGAATTTATCCTGAATGCCTCCAGTATTGCAGCGCTCACCAACTCCCGAGGTCATCGGTTCCATTGTCGTACTGCTCTAACCGTTAGGAAGTTTTTCCTGATACTCAATCGAAATCTAGCTTCCTGCAACTTGAGCCCACAGTTGCGTGTCCTGCGCTCGGGGATGATGGAGAACCGATCCTGCCCCTCTTTTGTAGGACAGCCTTTGAAGGATTTAAGAAATGCTATCCTCTCTCTTCTCAGTCTTCCTTACTCAAAGCTAAATGCCCCTCCTTTGTAGGACAGCCTTTCAAGGATTTAAGAAGTGCTATCCTATCTCTTCTCAGTCTTCTTTACTCAAAGCTAAGCATACCTATAAGACCTCAACAAGCACTAAAGGAAAGTGCCCAGAGTGGC